AAAACACGATGTTAGCACGAACAGTATAGTACCACAATTTCATTGGTGAAATACTAGGGGTTTATTAGATTATACACAGCGTTTTAAAGTTAGTTAAAATTACTTAAAATAAATTTAAAAAAAAAGAATCCCAGGAGTAAATTCCCTTTAAACTTCATTCGCCTTTGTTAGTTTGTTAAAATAATGATTTGTGATTAAGCAGTGTTTTCAGACAAGTTTATAAGTCCAGGAAATATTTTAGATTAGGTAACCCAGTTTCGCTGTAGACATATTATTTTTAGACTGGCACAATGGAACTTGTACGGTAGCAGACCACTAGAGGACGTTTGAACCAATTTCAGCTCAATGTTTAATTATTCGGGTTGATTTCCAGCGGGATCCAGAGTACTCTCATCAAGGCGTGTTCAAAATAGGTAATAATTTGCTGAAGCAGTAACAACAGTTCTAACACAAACAAGAAATATAATTTTTGAAGTCATCTCTGTCATTGTGTTCTAAACAGAGCACTTGTACGTTTGTCATGATGACGATAAAAATGTCGAGACACAATCGTGGGACTAACACAGTTGGTTGCTACAAAACAGATCGGCGAATTGAATGAAATTAATAGGAAATAACATTTCAGAAACCTACGCCTCTTCGACTAATTCAAACTGTAATAACTACATTGGAAACATACGATGACACTAACTATTCAAAAAGTGTGCTACAATTTTATCTTCTGAAATTATAGAGAACATTAAAATAATAAGGTTACTTGTATTTATAGAACTCGGCACATTCATATTTATTACTACGTTATAGATGAAAAGCATTAAGTTAACTCCCAAGCAGCTAAAACGAACTTTAATAATAAGTTAGAACTTAGGGAAAATGGGTTTACACCGTAATTATCAGCAATTTTTTTTTAGACATCTCTACTTACTAACAATAAAATAATTATTGAATTCGCCAGTGGGCTGAGAAAAACGTATTCAATACATTGACGTTCAGATCATTATTGAAAGGATTGTTCTAGCCAATCAGAAGACAATGGTTTTCTGCCTTAGTCTTCCTTTCGTAGCAAATTAATCTAAACTTGAAACTTATTTTTATATGTTTTAGGTATTGTTTCTCTTTTGATTTGTACTTACCTGTGTTAGCATACTCAGCGTGGCATATAAAGCATTAAGAAAAGGCAGAAGATGATGATAAAAATATTAAAGCCAAAGGAATTAATATTAACTACTTTCAGAGCAAGCTACCTAATTAGAGCGAAACTGGAAATAAACCGGGTAAGGATTACAGCTAATTAGATATATTTTTCTTATATTTTTTATTTATAAAGATTAGATAGAATGCGTTGTTTCACCAGTTGGATACCCTCGCTGTTAACGATATTTTCGTCCGTAAACCCAACTGTAGTATCAATAAAATATATATCAATAGAAAAATCTGTGAAATAAGGCGTTATATATTATTATACCAAAAAAGGGATAGATCCTTTAATATAGAAATCGATGAAATCAGAAACTGTAACATAAACTTATTAGAATAACAAAGAAAGTTTTATATATATACATACATACCAAATAATGAACTAGGAGTTTTCTATTAATAAATAAAAAAGCGTGCAGACACCGATGAAACCAGACTTTGTAATATACAGATATTAGAATGGAAAACAACCATTTATAGAGAAATAATTGAAATGCGACGTTCTACTGTTAATAATATATGTTAACAAAACAGTAAAGAAATTAGCATTGTATATAGACATTGTATCAACACGTGTATGATTTGTTTGTTTTGAATTTCGCGCAAAGCTACACGAGGACTATCTGCGCTAGCCGCCCCTAATTTAGCAGTGTAAGACTAGAGGGAAGGCAGCTAGTCATCACCACCCACCGCCAACTCTTGGGCTACTCTTTTACCAACGAATAGTGGGATTGACCGTCACATTATAATGCCCCCACGGCTTAAAGGGCGAGCATGTTTGGTGTGACGGGGATTGCGAGTCGAGCGCCCTAACCACCTAGCCATGCCAGGTCCACATGTACGAAAGATGGGAAAAACTGCAGATGAAGTGAAAAACATCAACTAGCTGAAGAAGCTACAATCAAGCGAAGAAAACAAACCCAACCAAAGGAACATATTTTTATTTAAACAAATAAAACTTTGATTGCATTATGAACAATAACTTAGTCCCCCCCCCCCTCATCCATGGATAGTAAATAGGCTATCTTTTTTAAGGAAAAACAGAACATGAAATTTGAAGAATATTTAACAAAACCAAAAGATATGGTAGCACTATTTTTTAAATCTCTTTACAGTTTGTTTAATAAGAATTTCCCATAAATCTAGACAAGTGCTATCTGTGCGAGCTGTCCCATATTTGAGCTGATAGAGGTAATAATTAATGTGAAGATGGGCTCAGCTAATAAAATCGCCCCCCTCCCCCAGCTATATGGAACAAGGAAGGGTCCAAGGGGAGCTGAAGTAATATTATAGTTTATTTGAAAGTTTTTGTAGGAATTATAATAAGAATCTTACGATTATTCGTGAAAACTGGTCTTCACCGGGAAAAGGTTGAAACTGCGGCTAACCATCGAGAAATAGGTGGACCTGAGAGCGATGGGCGTGGTAATCGTTCTACCTTGTCACCTGAAGACTCTGATTGTTGTTAGTACTGATGACAACTTTTTATTCTGTTATATACACTATATACTTAATATATGCTATACTAGGTAGTTGATTTTTTAAGGTTTTCTAAGCGTAATGACTTAGTGGTTTAGCCCGCTTTTCCCACCAGCTCCAGATTTTCACTTCAATCACTGACAAGAAGGGAAGCAGATAGAAATGACCTAGTTGTTTAGCCTGCTTCCCTTATCAGCTTCATATTTCCACTTTAACTACTGACAAGACGGGAAGCAGATAGGAATGACCTAGTGGTTTGTCCTGCTCTTCTCATCAGCTCTAGATTTCCACTTTAACTACTGACAAGACGGGAAGCAGATGGGAATGACCTTCCCATCAATTGAATAATTGGAAATTAGGCCATCACTGTTATAGTACGCTCACGGCTACAGAGTGCGGAGCGCATTTTTGCAGCAACGGGGCATGTACCATTTTTTTTAGAGAGTGACGTTTTACTGCAACAGTTATATGCTCACTTGTTTATTACTACACGCGCAAATTTTTTCTGATATTGAGTTTCCATGATTGTTTTATTACAGCTGTCGTTTTGTCATTAAGTTTATCAGGGCTAGCAGTACAAAAACTGGAGTTGTACTACTGACCAGATTGGTTTCAATTATTATACAAATAACCAGTAGGGTTATTCGATCAACTACGAAATAAATATAAAAAAAAATCTATACATATGTTTTATGACATAACTGACATAAACAAAAGCAAAATACCAAAAGCTAAGAAATTAGAAAACACCATGGCATTCTGAATTGGAAAGACCATCCTTTAACAGCCCACCAGTGTCACAGCAGCAAGTCTGCGGACTTATAACGCTGGAAACCGCGTTTCGATGTCTGTGGTGGGCACAGCACAGATAGCTCATTATGTAGCTTTGTGCTTAATTACAAACAAACAAACCATCCTTTAGACAACTATGTTATTATGGGAACAGATATTTAAAAAAAATACTTTAAATATTTGTATGATTCAAGTAAGTGTAATATACTATTTCTTATTATATGTAGTATAGTGGAACTTTCATCAACGTTTTTAGATTGTCGTGATTCAGGAGAAAAGGTTTTTGTCGCTCGTAAAAACTTAATGATTGTAAAGTTTGGCTGTTGTGTATTCATTAGGCACGCTGTGTTTAAACAAAAAAATAATAAGAGCATGTCAGAAGCATTGTCGTAAAAATGCTTATAGGAGAACATGTACTTTACTACTAAAACCTATATGACGGTTTCAATAAGCCCTAAGTTGCGTAGCATTAAGGAATAAATACCACATATACTTTGTTAGTTTAATTTAATTCTTTTAGTGGGAAATGGAACACTGGTTTCGGAAGGGTCCCAATATTAAACACTTTGTATATTACTTTTGAAGTCTCGAGAATTTTTTGGACTATTTAAAATTTTTCAAGTAAGTTAAATTGGAAAGTTATAGTGGTAATCTAAAAAGCGTTAATCTAAAAACGACCGTAATAACCAATATGCCTTTATAGAACTAAACCCTATCTACATCTTGGCCTGAGTTAGTGTTTGTTATATTATATCAAATTCTTGAAACACGTTATCTCACTGTTTTAAATTGTGGTATGATTTTAAAAGATTAAGACAGACCCCCCCCCACTATATAGGGGCATTCCCTTGAAATATAAGTAAATTTTTGTATTAATGTTCAGTAATGTGTCTTAGTTTCAATTTTCTTAATCTATTCGTATGATACTTGATATTAAAAAATGTTTATTTTGTATTATAATTAGTTGAGACTGTAAATCCTTAGTGTCCTTATTATTTTGCAAATTATTTATAACCCTCAATGGTACAAGCTAGGATATTTCGTTAGCCCAACCTCTCCTTTTATGAAGAATTAGTTTGAATTAGTTGTCTCAGCAAGAGAACTTTGCCACCTATCCTACTGAATTTTATGAGATATATTACATGGTACTTGAAACTTTAACTCGATATCATCTTTTCTGATCAAATCAAAAAAAAGTCGTCAGATGAACAAGGAGGCTTAGAATTTCGTTCACAAACTGCAAGCAGTCGTAGGTAGTTCACGGTTTCTTAAGAATCGACTTATTATAAAAAATCCAACGGGAATGACACCAGTTATTCTGAACCGGTTTAATGATGTGAATTGTTTATTTAGGGTTTTGGAATTTTGAGGGATATATTAAACAAGCTACATATTTCTTAAAGTATCATAAGTACTTATACTTTAAACAATTTTTAATGTTTGGAATTGATATATTATTGTGTTTTGTTTTTCCTTCTTTTAATAAGACAACGCGACTAAACAAAATCAATTTCTTTGCTTCCATCATTTAGGAAGGCCAAGTCAGTAGTATGCCTTCTCAAGCCTTAAGCATGATAGAGCTGAAAGACCCTAAAATCTGCATAATTATTGACTTCGGGGAGAATGCAGCCTTCGCCTCTCACGATCATTTATCACCTACCTCGACAGTAGGCACTCCGTCTCGAGAGTGGATTTCTACCCAGCTTGACATACAGCGGAAGAAATTTGAGTGTGTTCGAGAATCGCAAGCCGCCACCGAGGGAATGCTCTTGATTAATGTAGAACGATGCAGTAGGTTTCCCTAACCATGTTACCTCATTTTCTGCGTGAGAAGGGTTTTAGGAATATCAAAATAATTTACACCAATTTGTTTATATCGTCGTAACATTTACATTAAAATCTTTTCGGGATCTACTTTATTTTGATTTTTCTCCTTCTTTTAGTTGCCACAATCTTGTCACTTGTATTAGTTAAGTTAAACCATTAAAATGTTCTTCCGTGTATTCATGTGGAAATGGGGCAAAGGTTCAATCGTTAGAGAAGAAAAATGGTTTTGTTTTGATAATGGCAATTATCAGATAAACTAGAAGGCCAATCAATAGAGCGCATGCATACCTCCGCCACGTGGCGTTGATCATATTCGGCTCTCAAAATATACGAAAACGTGGCTATATGTCCGTCGTTATCAACGGACACGGATCTTTTTGGAAAACAATGAGGAATAACCTACTACGTCATTTTTGATTGCGTTATAGGGCAAAAATAGTGTGAAAAATTGGTACCCTTGTTAACAGATAGGGATTTTTTTTTTCCATGACACCTTCTGGTAATGCAATCCATGTTAATACACTACACATGGTAAGCCATATGGCCGAACAGCACGTTCTAGTAATGCAGCCTATGTTAATACACTACACAGGGTAAGCCATATGGCCAAGAAACACGTTCTGATAATGCAGTCTATGTGAATACACTAGTCAAGGTAAGTCATATGGCCAAGAAACACGTTCTGGTAATGCAGTCTATGTGAATACACTAGTCAAGGTAAGTCATAAGGCCAAACAATACGTTCTGGTAATGCAGTATATGTGAATACACTACACAAGGTAAGTCATATAGCCAAGAAACACGTTATGGTAATGCAGTCTTTGTGAATACAGTACTGATGGTAAGTTACAAGGCGAAACAACACGTTCTCGTAATGCAGTCTCTGTGAATACACTACACAGGTAAGCCATAAGGCGAAACAACACGTTCTAGTAATGCAGTCTATTTGAATACAAAGTATTTTCTTGATACGTTAAATCTAATACAATTCGGATTTTTAACATATATGCAGTTTTGAAAAAGAAAGAGAAAACGTAGCCTGTCTTCGCGATAATTATCACTAAAATTACCTTTTATATTATGAAAACTTTGACTTTATGACTAAGAGAATGCATTAGAATTTGAAAAAAAGGAGTAGTCAAATAGAAAGAGAGTAATTCAATACTATATACTTATGTTTCGTGCTACGTAGCCTGAACTTTCAGTCTTATCGAGGTGACTATCATACACGAACAGTGCAATACGACAGAGGTATTTCTTTCTTAGTTATCTATGTCTGTTATTCATATAAATACAGTGGAAATTTTATCCTAACCAATGAAATACTTTGCTTAGAAAAAGAAAAAATATCGAAGTAATTTGATATTAAATACCTATATATATTCTTACACACGCACAACTGGGTAGTATTGCGATATTTTCATAACGGCACTTTGATTGGATGGACTATGATAAAACTGTGTTTGACAACTCTAATATTCATGCATTATAAATAAGATAATAAACTTTTATATTTATACCAGGCCAGTTTCCATTCATGACTTACCTGGTGCTGAATACGAACCACAGCGAACCCAATCGACTAATCGAACAGTTAGAGGATAACTTTTCAACAGCACAGTGTCCAGAACAACTACAACATTTAGGTAAGATTAAATTTATATGAAATTATAACTAATACCTTTGTGCAGAGACTGTGAATAATTCAGATGCGAACGTAACACAATAATTCTAAATAAAACGTATATTATAAAATCCTAATTTTTTAGTCTGTTGCATTTAAAGAAACCCATTAAGGGCTCGTATTATTCGTGCCATATACACTAAAGTTAAGTGGAAAATAATTATAGAAAAATTTCCATTTTGTATGTTCCATTCTCCAAAAAATACCCATTGCAACGTAGGACGCTAACGTTGTTTTTTCTTCATTTAAGTAATGAAATACATATAAAGAGTTGAAATTAAATCAAGGGGGAAAGCGTCAAGGGAGAATGGTGTTAATAGACTGAAAATAGTCGTTAGTAAATGAGATGTAGAAAATACCATGAAGTTTTTAATTTTAGTATGTATATTACTCTTAATCACACACGCCCAGAAACAATGTTAATGTTGTATTGCTAGGTATAAATGGCCTTTTTACTGTTTTAACCCTAACTTGCTGAGCCACACATGCTGCATATCCACCAACAAGTGAAGAAAATCCAAGAAGTGAAAAAATAAAATCACGATCCTAAAGAAAGAAATATTCTTCTTCATCTGGGCTTGGCGACAGCAGCGGAGCTTTTATCCAGACATTAGGCTGTAATTTTTCATTATCAATATGCTGTACTAAACTAGTGAATATTAAAAGGGGAGGGGCGTTGTTACGTTGAACTGTAGTTTCTACACAACCAAGTTTCAACTTCACTGTTAACATATCCCTGGACTCTATACAAGTCGTAGCCCAAGTCTGAAGGCGTACTTTACACTGTATTACAAAGACACATGTCAATACATTTTCCTGCAATATGCCAAAATTGCACACACACACAACACTTTTCGAGCAAAACAGACGCATGGTTTAGAAATCCTGACTTCGTTTTGCGGGGTGTTGAATTAAACAGTGTGTTTGTGTGTGTGTGTGTGCGGGAGGTTGATATACACAGTGTGTGTAAGGGGGGTTAATATACACAGTGTGTGTGCTTGATTTTAAATAGTTTCTCCCAATGTTTTGAGACAAATATGGCCACCTTAGATCTTATTGACACGCTTTCTATATATTTTTCTGTTCTATAGAGGATCGGGTCTGTCCAATAATCTCTGTCACCGAATATGCTCGACCTTTCAGCCGTGGGGGCGTTATAATGTGATGAACAATCGCACTATTCTTTGGTAAAAATGTAGCCCAAGAGTTGGCGGTGGGTGTTGTTGATTAGCTGCCTTCCCTCTAGTCTATCACTGCTAAATTAAACAAACAAATTAGCCTATAATGGTTAGAGTACTGGACTTAGATTGGGAACGTCCAAGGTTCAAACCACAATATGCAGCAGAACACGCTACACGCTTTAAACTTTAGGAAGCATTATTATTATGATAACTGTTCCTGCTATTCAGTCAAGAGTAGTCACACAGACGGAAGATAGGTCTGACTAATTGCCCTCCTTCTGAATGAAGGATGGCTCTAATCTGGGCCCTAGTCCACGTGTCACCTTCGACCTGGTCCATTAGCCTATGTGTCACATAAGGTACTGTTCAACTTGAAAGTACTAATATTCCTCTTACATATTTTAAACCTACTTTTTTACTCTTTAATATAAACATATTTTACTCTACATATTATTTTAAAATCAGAACTTAACAACATAAAAACTGTCTTGTTGTACGGAGGTTAATTTCTGGAATGATAGCAGTGAAACTACGATATAAAAACTCTCATTTTGCCTGGCGGTTAATACTTGGAATGATAGCAGAAAAACTACAACATAAATACTGTCTTGTTGTACGGAGGTTAATTTCTGGACTGATAGCAGAGAAACTACAACATAAAAACTGTCTTGTTGTACGGAGGTTAATTTCTGGAATGATAGCAGTGAAACTACGATATAAAAAACTCTCATTTTGCCTGGCGGTTAATACTTGGAATGATAGCAGAAAAACTACAACATAATACTGTCTTGTTGTACGGAGGTTAATTTCTGGACTGATAGCAGAGAAACTACAACATAAAAACTGTCTTGTTGTACGGAGGTTAATTTCTGGAATGATAGCAGAGAAACTACAATATAAAAACTCTCTCTATATTTAATGGTGAGGCAAAGAAAACAAACAAACAAAAACAAAACACTGCTCAAGTTCTATACCCGAGAGCTTCTTATTTATTTTTTGTACTTTTATAATAACGATTTTCCTAACACTCGTACTACTCACTACTAGCATATCTTGTACTTTATCGTGTGGACGACAATCGATATGCTTTATGAATTCATACTGTTCCTTGATTCTATGCGTAACTAGGCCTGGGCTGCTGTCGTGGACTAAATTAAATATGCTTCCAAAACTACACCACAACCATGACACCGGGTGTAAAACTCAGAACAGTTTAAAAGCCTGCTGTCACTGTGCAGTCCTAATGTACGAACACCAACAGTTAAAGATGGCTCTCGCTTCAAGAGGCAGAACTTTTATGAAGGCCCGGCATGGCCAGGTGGTTAAAGCACTCGACTCGCAATCTGAGGGTCGCGGGTTCGAATCCCTGTCACACCAAACATGCTCGCCCTTTCTGCCGTGGGGGCATTATAATATGACGGTCAATCCCACTATTCGTTGGTAATAGAGTAGCCCAAGAGTTGGCGGTGGGTGGTGATGACTAGCTGTCTTCCCTCTAGTCTTACACTGCTAAATTAGGGACGGCTAGCGCAGATAGCCCTCGTGTAGCTTTGCGCGAAATTCAATAACAAACAAACAAGCTTTTATGAAATACAAAAACACATCTACTTTATCCAACAACTGAATTACGTGAGCTATACATGTATATACAACAATCTACTGACTATGGTAAAAACTTAATCTGAAACATATGATACACTTAACTCTATAATAGAGGAGGAAAGTAGCTAAAAACTATATCTTTTGTATAGTATTAGGTCGTCAAGAAATTAATGTCGCGTTTTGGAACACTTTCATTAACAACGAACCGCCTAAACGTCACGTTAGTGTAGCCTATTATAATGTGTAAGTTTATAGTGATGGCACACGACGAGACACACATTCGGCATGTAATGCTGTTTGAATACAAGAAGGGAAACAACGCCTCTGTACCCACAAAGAATATCAAAGAACGTTCGTTAGCGTCAACTATGGTTCAGCAAATTTCGTTCAGGTGATTTAGCCTTAAAAACTGTGATGGCAGGGACCGACATGTTGGAATTGATATTGATACTCTGAAGACATTTGTTGAGTCTAACCCAAGGCAAAACACTCGTGAAATAGCCCTGAAATTGCATGTCTCTCATGAAACAATACATAAACATCTAAGGAATATGGGAAAACGTTTCCAACGTGTGAGCGTTGTTTCGTCTCTTCTGTCCGGTATTTCGCGTGAACCATTTTGGGACAGAATTGTCACCGGTGATGAAAAATGGATTCTCTATGCGAATATTAAACGCCAAAAACAATGGCTCAATTGTAAACATAAACCACTTCCGACCCCAAAACCTGGACTACATCCGCAGAGAGTGATGCTTTGCATTTGGTGGGATAATCAAAGGAGTAATTCATTTCGAACTCCTAAATCCACAGCGAACTGTCAATGCAGAAATCTATAGTCAGCAACTGGAACGTTTAAATCAAGCCCTTTATCAGGAACGTTCACTCGTCAATCGGAAAGGTGTTCTTCTTCTCCACGACAATGCACTTCCACATGTGGCACGTTTGACGCAACACAAGATCAAGGAGTTGGGTTGGGAAGTTCTTCGCCACCCACCATACTCTCTAGATGGAGCACCATCAGATTACCATCTCTTTCGTTCACTGCAACATCATCTTAATAGGAAAACGTATGCAAATGTGGGAGGTGTTAAAGAGGACATCGACATGTTTTTTGCTTCAAAGCCAAGTGATTTCTTTAATCAGGGCATTATCAACCTGACTGTAAGACGGAAAATCATCATCGATAACAATGGAGACTATTTCATTTAATAAATGTTTTGTTTTGATATCTAAGTTGTTCGGGTTATTTCATCTAAAAGAAAGTGACATTAATTTCTTGACCACCTAATATTATAGCACGAGCGAAAGTTGCGTGTTTGTTTGTTGTTAAGCGCAAAGCTAGAAACTGGGCCATCCATGCTTTGCTACCGCGGGTATCGAACCTTGAGTTTCATACTTACAAGCCCTCAGATTTACCGCTGAACCATCGGGAAGAAAATTACGAGTTCATTGGGATTTTAAAGCTTATGCTGAGATTAATGAAGAAATATACGTCAAACGATTACAAAAGTCCAATTACTAATATAATGAATATATTACATAATTTGTAAATGAAATAATTACTTTTAAAGCAGTAAGAAATATAACAAAGTAGTGATTATATTTTAAAATTCTAAATTTTTGTAATTACCTAAATTATCTAGTGATGAGGTAAATAGTATTTTATTTTTCTATCAAACTGAACGATCAGTTTTTTCACATTAAAATCAAAGCATAAGGGAAAAAATATTTTCGCCAGACTCACTTATAAGAAACTGCTTATTTTTAGACACGGGAAGTATTATACATAGTGTTAGGACAAGTAGTGTATATGTTTTGAGATGTGACTAGAGGAGGCTGTGAAAAAAGTGTATATGTTGCAAGATGAGGCTAGTAAGGGTGTAAAAAAAAAGAGATGGGATATGTTGTATATAATGTTATTAGAGGGAGTGTGTATGGTGCAAGATGAGGCTAGAGAGAGTGTAAAGAAGAAGATGGAAAGTGACACCCTCTCTAGCCTCATCTTGCACCATACACACTCCTTCTAATAACATTATATACAAAAAGAAGAAGATGGAAAGTGTTGTATATAATGTTATTAGCTAGCCTCATCTTGCACCATACACACTCCTTCGACATTTGTCAATTTGCCAAGATCGTCGAATTTAAGGTGTCAGTGTGCTGTTTCTTTATAGCCATT